CCCCCTGCTTTACAGTCTGTCTATTCAGCCGTTTGCAGTCTTGGTCCGTTCAGAGAATCTCACCAGTTCACCTATGCCGTCGCCATCTTGCCCCGTCTAACATATCGCCACTGAGGTTTTAAGTTTGTTGGGCAGCATTGTTTTTGCCACAGATTACTGAAGTAAATTCCAGTGCTCATTTTTCTCACTATATCTTATTTAAGAAATATTCATTTATTAAGTACCTACTATGGACAGGTGCACATAGTAGGTCCAGGGGCAGGAGGAGCTAAATTAGACCCTGATTTCTGTGAGCAACAGAGATGAGGAGGCTGTGGGAGTCACACCTCACTGCATCCTGCCTTCTCTTCACCTCCACGGCTATACTACCGGAGACTTCCTACCTGGTATCCCTGCATGTACATATCCCTCTCATACCTGCCTCCTATCCTACAGCCAGGATGATCTTTCTGAAATGCAATGCTATTTACAGTCTTGCATCCCTTAAACCCTTAGAATCCTAGGCTGGCCTTTTAGCTCTGGTCTCCTGGATGAGATCTTGGGCACTCTCGGATCACTCTTAGATCATGAAAAGTCTTCCAGTTGTTTTAATCTCCAGAATAATCCCATTCAGTATTAAAATGATCAGTTCTTAGGCTGGGTGCAGTGACTCATGCCAATAATCTCAGCACTTTGGGAGGCCTAGGTGAGAGTATTGCCTGAGGCCACGGGTTTGAGACCAGCCTGGGCAACTTGGTGAGACCTCATCTCTGCAATAAATCAAAAAATTAGCCAGGCGTGGTGGCATGGGCCTGTAGTTCCAGTTACTTGGAAGGCTGAGGCGGAAGGATTGCCTGAGCCCAGCAGGTAAGGGTTGCAGTAGTTGTGAGCATGTCACTGCAGTCCAGCCTGGGTGACAGAGTGAGATGCCATCTCAAAAAAAAAAAAAAAGACCAGTTCTGGGTAATAGGGAACAATTCCAAGCTTCTTTAACATTAAACCTTCTTGCATCCTCCAGTTCATGCCTATTTCAGGCTTTGAAGGCTACTAAGAGTTAGGGAAAGAAGATAGAAAAGCTGCAGTCACTTTCTCTCTTATCTCCTTCCCAGCAGCCACTTAGGACACCTTAGAGCAGAAGAGGGGAAGCCACACTTGGCTGGAACAGGTATCATCAGTGTAGGTTTTACTCTGGCCATGGCAGATGTTTAAAGCTGGCTCTTTCTGGACACTTCCATGGGTTGGTGGCGTTGCCTGTTGGGCTCTCTTGGCTTGGTGGGTGCTCCAAGTTGACTTATTTTGAGGCAGAGTAAAGGCTCCCTGGAGTCTCCCCAATACTGGGACCCTTCCCTGCAACTCTGAGAGGGAATAAAGTCCCCTCCGGCTAGCCCCAGGGCACTTGAGTTTGGGGTGTGACCTCATGGCCCCTCCCTGGGGGTCACCTAAGATACAAAGAGCTCCCAGCTGTCGTTCTCCCCATGAGGCACTCATACTTCCTCCTCTAGAAGCGTAGGACATTCTCAAGGGCCCATTAACTCCCCTGTAAGCTGTACATCAACATGCACCTTTGTGCCCCAAGACTCTGGAAGACAGCTGGGCAAGCTCTTTGGGTGGTCTCCTCCTTTATCATGACTCTCCGAGGGGCTCAGGTCAGAAAACACCACCTCATCCCACCAGTCTTCTCCAAAAATTCCTCTCTCTGATGACAGACTTCCTGGACCTCTCTAACAACAACCCTTCTGTATCTTTGATGTTGACAAGGGACAGAGGATCCAAAACTGAGCTGCAACCTTTCTCTTTTTTTAGTCCTAACAGGTGGTCAGGTGTCTCAACTCAGGATATAGAAAGACTCCTCACCTCTTGGGGCTCAACGGAAACTGACATGTGAATGTCATATGTGAATATCTAGTTACACTTTAATAGCAACAAGTTTCTTCATGACAGGTATCACAGCAGGAAGGGAACATTAACCCAGAAAGTTCTTTGGTTTTTAGTAGAATTTTCAGAAAGGTAAGGGCCATGTCTGTATCTCCAGTGCGAGCCCTGGTGGGTACTCAATAAATGCTTGTTGATGATTGACCCAATGAGTCAATGAATGAATAAAAGAAAGAAACTATCTGCAGCCAGGAAGCAGAAGTTCAATCTTCACAGTGGGACAAGTGAACAGGGCTTCTCCTGGCCTCTGGAGCCTGGGCAGACCACGCACAAGGTTAGCAGTCCTGGCTGAGGGCTGGATCGTCTTCCTCTACCACACACATGGGTGAAAAGAGTGCTCCTAAAAACTGGGTAGAAGAAAACTGCCATCCTGCTGACAAACCAAACACCAAGCCAAGAAAGGAATGGAATGGAGAAGCAGACTTAACAAGCTGTCCAAACACGGAGGAAAAGCCAAGTGAGGTCAAGAGGATCTGAGTCAAACGCCGTTGTTACCCGCATTCCCAGTGCCACCTCTGATTACTAAAATAAGGAGATTAAGTAGCTGAATTTGTTTCGCCGTGTTTATGCTTCTCTGGTATTTTCTAAATTGTGCACTTTGGACAGGGAGAGCAAGTTTCTCAACTAGGAGTCTGTTTGCGTTCAATTTTGGTTGTTTTCTTAAATGTAGTTTTCGGACTCCAACCTGGTCGCCCGCCATCAGAATTCCCTGCCATCTGCACTTCTCACTTGTATGGCCTTTCCTCGCTGTGTTTTCTTCTTCCCTGGCCTGGCCCTTGGGTTGCCAAGGGCACTGTTTGGCCTGGTGATGGAGCCATAGAAGGGATGTTGATGCTGCCCTGGGTTAAGCAGGATTGTCTTCTGTACAGCCCGGAGCCTTCTGGGGTCAGCTGTCCCTGCACCACCCAAAACTCAGTCTCTGAGACTCCCAGTTCCTCCCAGACATGTCTGGAGACCTAGTTGCCTTCCTCCTTCTGACACCAAACATCTTGCTAACTTGAAATAAGACAACAATATTATAGGTATCCTTTTAATGTTATCCTACAATGCTGTTGGGCAAGACTGCCTAGGGTCATGTGGTTCTCTAGGGGAATGTATCTTTGTTTCACTTACTATTCACTCTTAAATAGAGCCTACATTATTAAAAGTTAGATACTAATTTGTGGAACACTGATAAGTCATAAATGGATTCTGTCAGACGGAAAGGTATCTCCAAAGGTTTCGGTTGTATTGCCCTATAGGCCCTTTAAACTACATTAACTAGTTTAAAGTCTAACTTTGCAATCCTACTCCAGCTGTCTTTTTTCCTTCTGACCATATAGGTCTTGGTCCAGCCTGTTCCTCACTTCTTCTCCCTCCTTCTTCTCCTGTTCAGGCTTCAAGGCACAGATGCTATAGGTAAGTGTCATATATTCTATTGGGAAAACTCTTCTCTTGGGACCTCCCCTGTGGACTACCAGAAACTGCCAGAAAGTAACATGAAATTTCACATGGAGTTTTAGGTAGTTCCTCCATTGCATCACACCTCTTGTATCCCAACCACTGCCTGATCCTTAGCTGTCTCTTATTTTACCATAATATTCAAAGGCAGTAGTACTCCCATAAATACTATAATCCATCAGTTAAATATAAGGATAATACATACATAAACGGTAACTGAAACAACAGCATTTGCAGGGAGAGGACCAGCATTGTAGAAAGATCAGGTTCTCAGACAAACTAGGATTTTAGTCTTGGGGGTTGGACCAGTGTACAGAACCCACTCTGAGGCTCAGTTTTCTCATCTATAAAATGGGCATAACATCAACAACCCTTGGGGTTTGGGGTTTTGTTTTCTTTTGTTTGTTTTAGAACTAAAGGCCATTTAATTCTAAATTAAGCAGGTACTTGCAAGCTGCCCTTTATTCCTATCTGTGTCCCTAGCAGCAACATTCTCCCTTGCATAAAGTTGCCTAACATCATAACACCACAGTTGCTGAAGGGGACCAAACAAGGAAGCAGATCATCTTGGAGAAGCAACTGGGAAATTCTTGAAAGAGAAGACTGGGGAGAACTAAGAATTACCACTCTTCTGGTTTATAACCATTCTTCAACTAAATTTAATTTTTAAAAATTCAGCCAGGTGTGGTAGCACACATCTATGGCCCCAGCTACTTGGGAGGCTGAGACAGGAAGATCAGTTGAGCCCAGAAGTTCAAGGTTATAGTGGGCTATGATTGTGCCTATGAATAGCCCAGCATTCCATCCTGGGAACACTTTACTAGAAAAAGTTAACACCTATTTTATGGCACTTATTATGTGCCAGGCACTGTTCAAAGCACTCTATAAATATTAACTTAGTTCCTCGTAATGACTTTAGGGAGTGGTTGCTGTTATCACCATTTACAGGTGGGAAAACTGAGGCACCAAGTAGTTCAGTGACTTGCCTGAGGTTGTAAGTGGCAGAGTTTCCATTCAAACCCAGCCCATCTGAACCCTTAACCTTTGCTAGGTAACCTCACAAACACTTCACGTCATGCTTTATTTAGAAGTTAGAAAGCAAAACAAAACACAAACATCCTTAGCAGTGACTCCCCTACTCCAAAAAATTCTATCTGCTCCTCACTGAATACTCTCCTTACACTTTTAACAGAAGGCAAAGAAACAAGGCAAAGGAGTTTGTTGAGAGCCAGGGAGATGTCAGCCAGGAAAGAGGTCACAGACTCACCTTCACTCTGCCCAAGCTCCCCTATAGGCAGGGATGAGAGTCCCCTCTTCTCATCTCCTCTTGCTCTTAGGTATAAAGGCACATTAATTACTTTGTAGACAGGAATCCCAACCCACACCAAAGCCTCCCTAGATCCCTGCTCCAGTAACCTGCTGCTGACCCATTGCTCATATGGTCCTTGGGGCTCTGATCACAGGCTTCCTGACATCCTTGTCACTCTTGGTCCCTCACCTGGTGGCAGTAGCCTGAAAGAGGTGGTGGCAAAGTGGTTGGCAGCCACTCCCAACTTGGCTGCTAACTGGCTCTCCCCTTCTGGTGAGGAGGACAGGAAGTAGCCTGCTTGTCTCTGGTCAGACACATGAATAATGCCAGCTCCAGACCTTCTTGGCATCCCATCCTAAACCAACAAGAACAAGGCCAAGGCCAAGGAGAGTGGAGGCAGTTGTGCCAGCACGGGAATGGCAGGCACATCTCCTTACCCGAGGCAAGACATCAGTCTACTTGCCTTCATTCTCTCCCCAGCTCAGAGAGATGACACCGAACACTAAAGATGGCTCAATGCCTGGCGATGCACCATCTACAGGGTATTATGGACTGAATTATGCCCTCCTAAAATTCGTATGTTGGAGCCCTAACCCCCAGTGTGATGGTACTTGGAACTGGGCCTTTTACGAAGTAATTAGGTTTTGATGAGGCCATGAGGGTGGGCCTTCATGATGAGATTAGTGTCCCTATAAGAAGAGACACCAGAGAACTTGCTCTCTCTCTCCCTACCATGTGAGGACATGGTGAGAAGGCAATCATCTATAAGCCAGGAAAACGGCCTCATCGGCAACCAACCATGCTAGCACATTGATCATGGACTTCCAGCCTCCAGAACTATAAGAAAATAAATTTCTATTGTGTAAGCGACCCAGTTTACAGTTCTAGGATGGGGTGTTTACAGTCATGGGTTCCATATTTGTAGATTCAACCAACCATAGATCATGGATATTCAGAAAAAGAAATAACAATACAACAATAAAAATAACAAAAACAATACAGTACAACCAATATTTACACAGATTACATTGTATTAGGTATTATAAGCAATCTAGAGATGATTTAAAGTGTACAGAAGGATGTGTGCAGGTTTTATGCAAATACTACACCACTTTATATAAGGGACTTGAGTATCTGCAGATTTTGGTATCCATGGTGGGTGGGGCGGGGGGTGTCCTGGAACCAATCCCCCATGGACACGAAGGATATTGTATTTTGTTATGGTAGCCTGAGCTAAGACACTGGGTTGCTGATTATGCTTTTTCCCCCTGATTAATTTTTTCCCTCCAATCCTCTTTCAAGAAAAATTCTCCTCATTATTCTTATTACTAGCTCTGTACTTGCAAACTGATTAGTCCAATTCCATCAGGTGCTATGGTTTCACGTTATTGAGGACAGTTACCAGTTTTTCTCAACCCTATCTCCATTGGATTGGCAGAAGGGATGCAAGTTCATTCACTGTAAGTTCATTCACTACCTTTTCTACACATTTCTGCATTCACAAAACATTCCAACAGCACCCACCCCATGGTGGGACAGGACAGACAGAGTCTTATCTCTTAGCATCCATCAACTCCATTGCCTTGAGCGGCACCATTCACCCTGTTCTCTACAACCTGTTCTCTCCCCCTCCTTACCTCACCCCTGCCCACCTACCTTAGGGGTCCATGGACTCCTGACTTCCCTTTGTCACCTCACATACACTTGATCACCAAGTTCTGCTGACTTCATCTTCCTTGCTATCTCCTCCCACCAATCTCATGTGGAGTTATCACTGAGGTGATGCCCAGCCTGGGACCACATTTCCCAGCCTCCTTTGAGGGCAACTGCAGCCGTGTGACTGGTTCCCACCAATGGAAAGAGAGTGGAAAGGATGTGGGTCATTTCTAGGATGGGGTGTTTAAGAAGTAGGTGTGCCTTCTCCACTGCCTCTTTTTCTTGTAGTCCCCAGAAAGCAAATGACTTTGAGGCCCTAAGGGATACAGAGCCAGCAATGGAAGGACCCTGGAGCCCCAGAATCACCACATAGAGGAGGTATCCACTGAGGAATAGCCTTATTTAACTGACACATGAGCAGTGAACACATTTCTAGTAGGTCAAGTCACTGAAAAGGGAGGGTCCGTTATGGCAGTTAATGTTGGATCAATATCGGTATATGCAGGGTTCCCTTTCTCTTAATGTGGGTTAACAAGCATGTTTAAGCAAAGGAATAGTGTAAAGAGAAATACCTCAGGCCACAGAGGGAAGAAAGAGAGAGGGTGGAGGAATGAATGAATCCTCTACCATCTCCAAATATAAGGTAGGGAAAGAGAAGGCAGGGATTGTGCCCTCTCATCACCCACCCCTGCCTACCTACCCACCCATGGCTAAATTCAGGCTCCAAAACCTGCTCTCTGTCTTTGTTTCCCTTTAGAGCCCTACTAGGCAGATTAAAATTCCAGTCCTTCATAACCTAGGAAAACATCCATTCCTTTGACCCTGTGAAAGTAACTCCATGTAGACCCAGACAGGGCTTCAGAACAGAAATCAAGGGACCTCAGACTGGGAATTAGAAGTAGAAGCATAGCCCTCGAGGCCAATAGGGCTGGGGATGGGTAGGGGTGTGGAGAGAGATTCCACAGCCTAGCCAGAAAGGAAAGTGCCAGGAACATTTCCCAAATCCTGACAAGGCTCAAGCAATGATGCTCAGGCTTTTGGCTGCAGTCTCGAGACAGGCTGATAGGAAGGGCCCAGGATTTGTCAGCAGGAAGGTCTGACCCCCTCAGGGTCTACAGCTGATGAGAAGGATGGTCCCCCAAAGCAGATCTGCGAATTCCATCCCCAAAAGAAATCTTCCTTCTGACTTAATTCTAACTGCTGCCACTCTTCCTCTGTAACTTCTTCAACTCCCAGCTGCCCACTTCCAGCAGCCACAGAGGCAACTTGAGTCTACAACCAGGGGGACACTCACCCCCTCATAGGAATGGCTACGGGTGGGGTCTGCTGGGGTCCCCAGATGCCAATGGGATTCATTCCATCACAGGTTACATAAGCTCCTGGCTGCAGCCAAGGTCTGAACTGAATAGGAAAATGGAAAATGCTCCAGCAAATAAATTCCAGGGACATTAGGCAAATGGCCCTTTTAAATAAACAATAGCTTTCGTTTTCACACAGACATGATGAAAAGGAGGTGGGGGGAAAAATGAAGAGAAAGAGATCCTTCCCAGATCACAAAACTTATTCTTAGCGAGTCCAGGGCCCCTACTAACCCCCAAAGCCCAGGGCATCCTGAAGCCTGGGGCAGAAGAGGCAGCACAGATATTTCCTCCAGGCCAGCCCTGCCCTGTGGAAGGCGGACTCCCCCATGGCAGGACTTCCCCTCTGCAGGGCAGGGTGGGTGGAGCAGGGCAACAGGGGTGAGGACTTCCTCCATCTGAGCCACCCTGATAACCCCCAGGGCTGCACAAAAGGGTTTCCACTGGCAAGTTCTTCCTGGCACAAAGCTGCCACAAAGCTGCAGGGTGCTCTGTGTCTACTTGGATTGGGGTGGAGGGTGGGCCTGTCAGCTGAAGGCTCTGACTCAATGGGAAGCCCTCTGACCCCGGGCCACCTCTCATCTCTGCCTCTGGGAGCAGAGAGTGAAGCACGCCTTACGGATACCCCCATCCCCCCCTAGGACCCTACACAGCTGCAAAGGGGGACGTGTGAACTTTGGCAAAGGACCCAGGAAAGCTTCCCAGCCCAGACAAGGCCATCCAGGCCAGTGCCAATGGGGCAGGGCAGATATGTCCTGGAGAGTGTCTGGACTGAGGTCTACACCGCAATTAAAAGCAGGACAAGGGCTGGTGTGGCTGTAGCTAAAGATCTGGGTATGCCTACACCATGCACAGGAACAATGTGTCTTCAGACTGAGCCTTGCAGCCCCATGGGAGCCATGACTGGGAAATGGTCAGAGAACAAGGCCCAGCCCTCCTTCCTGTTGGCTCCCTCACAGGCACCCTCACCCAGCTCAACTCCACCCTGCCCTCCACCCAGCCCTGGAACATCTTTCTCCGTCTGTCTTCCTGTCCTCTATCCACGTTCAGCAGGCTAAAGCCAGCCAGGAGACAGGGGCCTGGGATGGCCTGAGGACAGGCTCCGTCAAGTGGGAAGAGCCCGGCAGAGCAAGTTTTATGAAAGGGTGGCCACAATCAGCTTCCTCAGAGATGGAGTAAGCACCCCAAGGTGCCCCAGTTCCTAATCCTGCCAGCAATGAACTCCCTTTTAAAAAGAGAATCCTGTGCATCAGGTTCTTGGCTGGCAAAGTACCCAGGACACAAGAATGAATTCAGGGCATGGAGGCTGGGAACAAGGAGGAGCATGTAACAAGGACGGGAACAGTGAACCTGGAACAGGACGTGAGTGAGAACAGACCACAGAGGCCTGAGGGCCCAAAGCATGGGGAGGAGATGCAAAGGTCACGTCATTTCCCTGCTCAATACCATGCAATTACCCCATTTCCCATAGTAAAAGCCAGTCCATTTCAGAGGTACACAAGGCCCTACGTGGTCAGGCCTCCTTCACGTCTCTGACCTCATCTCCTAATACCCACACTCACACCCTTATTCTGCCCCAGACACACTGGCTTCCTGACTATCCCTGGAGCAACAGGCACTTGTGCCTCATGGCTTTTGCACTGGCTGTCTGGAATATTCTTCTCCCAGATCTCTCCACATGGCTCCCTTCCCTCACCTCCTTCAAGTCTCTGTCAAAAACCTCTTTCATGACATCTACCCTGAATATCTTATTTAAAATTATAGTCCACCTTGGCATGACCAAATCTCCTTCCCCTATCCTTTTTTGTGAAGTCAGGGTCTCACTGTGTCACCCAAGTTGCAGTACAGTGGCACAATCACAGCTCACCATTGCCTCGACCTCCTGGGCTCAGGCAGTCCTCCTGCCTCAGTCTCCCAAGCAGCCAGGATAACAGGTACATGCTACCACATCTGGCTAATATTTTTTTTGTAGATATGAGGTCTTGCTATGTTGCCCAGGCTAGTCTCAAACTGCTGGGCTCAAACAATCCTTCTGTCTCAGCCTCCCACCGCATGCATCCTGCCTATTATATTTTCCCCATGGCACTTATCAATTTCTATGTGTCTATGTACTATATTCCACATGTTCTATATTTCCAGACTTACTATGTTTATGATTTCTGTCTGCCTCTACCTGTTAGGATGCCAGCTCCACTATGGCAGGGAATTTTGCTACTTTTTAAAAATATATATACACAAATGTTTCTAACACTTTCATTTCTAGTAGCCTAAAGATAGAAACAACTTATCTGTCCATCAACATGTGAATGAATAAACAAAATGTGGTCTAGCCATACAGTGG